CCCGCAGATGGATCTGCTGCCCCGAGGTGGCTGCAGGGACAGTGCAGGCACTGAGGTGTGAAGGATGAGAAGGCTCTAGGCTGGGATGAGCCAGGGAAGGGACAGTGAGGGGCGTCCCATCACTGGGGATGAGGGTGAGGGTGTGGCGGGAGCGGCCGTCCAGCAGTCTGAGGCATCCTGGGCTCATGGGCTCTGCCCTCGGTTCCTCAGGAGGCTCCACGCTATTTGTTGAGACGTCCCTGAGGCGGCCGCGTGACAGCAAGGGGGACAAGGACGGGAGCCTGGAGGTTACAGGCCAGCTGGGGGAGGTGATGAAGGAGAGCGCCCGCATCGCCTACACCTTCGCCAGGGCCTTCCTGATGCGGTACGACCCCACCAACGAGTACCTGGTGACCTCGCACATCCACCTGCATGTGCCTGAGGTGAGGCTGGACCCGCGCCCACGCCCCACACCCCCCACCTGGCAGCCGCCTGCCCACCAGTCTGTCTCCCCCCAGGGCGCCACCCCTAAGGATGGCCCGAGCGCTGGCTGCACCATTGTCACGGCCCTGCTCTCCCTGGCTCTGGACCGGCCGGTACGGCAGAACCTGGCCATGACGGGTGAGGTCTCCCTCACGGGTAAGGTCCTGCCTGTGGGAGGCATCAAGGAGAAGACCATTGCGGTGAGTGTCCCGTGTGATAGCGCACAGAGCCACCATTCACGTGTCAGGGCTAACACCCCCAGGTGAGAAGAGTGACAGGCCCATTTCACAGAAGAGGAAAGTGAGGCCCAGCAGGCATGGGATCTGGATCTGCCTGGCCTGGGTCCCCTGCTGAGCTGACTGCCTAGCTGCCCCTCCCTCCACAGTGGTTCTCAGCCTTTTCAGCCCTCATCTCAGCTCCTCAGGGATGAGTAGGGTCTCCTGCTTCCTTGCCCCCGCCCCCCTGTGGCCTAGCACTGAGACCTGTGGGTGCAGGAGAGGCTGGAGGAGCAAGGCTTAGGCACTGCAGGTGGACAGAGGGCCCAGAGCCCAGCGTCTCACTGGGTGTGCTGTAGGTTTGACTGTGGTGGATTGGGGGGGGGGGGGCTGTGCTTCCCAGTGTTGGGAGCCCCCCCGAGCTCCCGGCAGCACCCCAGTCTTTCTCAGCTGAGCCCCCAGGCCTCTCCCTGTCTACCTCAAACGGACCACAGCCCCAGCTGCCCACAGGGAAGGGCTCCCGTGATAGGGACACCCAGGCAAGGTGTGTGGGAGGCTCTCTGCACCTTGCTTTCCTCTCTTGCAAAGTGAGAAGTTCAGTGAGTGAGAGGTTCAGTGAGTCACTGCATGCTATCCCTAGAGCAACACATGGTGACACATGGGGACCCTTGTCCACCAAGGGGCAGAGTCAGGCTGAGGGACAGCAGCTCAGAGGCCCCAGGTGCGACAGGGCGCGTGGCAGTCTTCAGTTCCTGTGCATTTTTAGGTGCCAGACCTCTAAATGTAAAGCAGTGGGTGCTGTGATGGATCAATCCCAGAAACGATGGACCTCATAATTCCTGTATTTCCAGACACCTTTGGGGGTGGGGAGAGCCTCTGGGGTGACAGCACACTAGAAGAGGCCTGGGTTCCTGCTGCCAAGCTACTGGAACAGAGGCTGGTGATGTTACCTTGGGCCTCAGTTTCCTCAGCAGGGTGGCCACTGGAAACCTGGCTCCATGCCCAGCCCTCTCCTACCTCCCACACTGACCTGACTGCCCCCCCCCATCCCAGGCCAAGCGTGCTGGAGTGACGTGCATCATCCTGCCAACCGAGAACAAGAAGGATTTCTACGACCTGGCAGCCTTCATCACCGAGGGCCTGGAGGTGCACTTCGTGGAGCACTACCGCGAGATCTTCAACATCGCCTTCCCCGAGGAGCAGGCCGAGGCCCTGGCTGTGGAGCGGTGACGCCGGCTCTGGGCACTGCAGGCACGGCAGGGCCCGCCGGGGCTGGAACTGCGCTCAGGGGAGAGGTTCCAGGCAGCTGAGCCACAAGAAGCTCAGGAGAGGCCTGGAGCCCGACCTCAATCATGGCTTAATCACTGACTATTTAATTATGATTAAAAACCGTTTCCAGTACTGCTTGGTTGGCTGTGGCTTCTTTCTGTGCTCACCACCCTGCCTGTCACCAAGGTGCCCAGGGACACGTGTGCCCCAGCAGATGGCACCCCCCCTTCCCACTGGCAGCAGAGAAACCCCAAGTTTCTGTAAAAGTTTTATTGTGCACAGAGGGGAGGGGCTCAGTCCTTCTTGGCTGCCGCCTTCCTCATGGCGGCCAGGACATTGCTCAGCTCCTCTCTCTTCCTCTTGGCACGGATGTGTGTCCCCACCTGCCGGGCAAGGAGGGCCGTGAGCCTAAGCCCCAAGTCCCACCCCGGCCCTAACAGGGGTCCTACCTACCCTTTTCTTGATGAACTTGAGGGCCCGCTTGTCCTTGGAGACCTTGAGCAGCTCCATGGCCCGCCGCTCATAAGGGGCAAAGCCGCACACCTCCCGGATCATGTCCCGCACGAACTTGGTGTGCTTGGTGAGGCGCTGCGGGAGAAGGAGGCGTCAGGGCGGGGCTCGGAGGGGGTCTCCGGGTGGAGTGTTTTATGTCTGCTAACAAGGGAAGCCCAAATCCTCCCCAGTCCCCAATCTTATCAACATTAAAGTGGCACGTCACACCCGGCCTTTGCACAGGGTGTTCCCCGGGCCCAGAACCCTCTCGCCCTGGACACAAGCTGGGTACCGTGGAGTCGGGACCGCTTAATGAAGAAATATATAAACCCCCATGAGCCTACGATTCCTCAACCTGACACACAAGGAATCCGCTTTCCCTCCACATTCCAACCCCGATCCAGAAACCCTTCTACTCGGCAAACTCCTGCTCATGCGTCAAAATTCGCTCCCAATTCGCTCCTGCCCCAGCTTCCGAATCCACGGGCCAGGTGGGTCCCATTACTTAGCCCCGGCGGGCGTCCGCCGCGCAGGCGCGTAACCGGCATCTTCACACTCTGCTCTGCGCCAAGCCTGACACCCCCTTTCTTCCGTTTAAGACAGCAGGGCTGGACTTCCCTGGTGGCGCAGTGGTCGAGAGTCCGCCTGCCGATGCAGGGGACACGGGTTCGTGCCCCGGGCCGGGAAGGTCTCACATGCCGCGGAGCGGCTGGGCCCGTGAGCCATGGCCGCTGAGCCTGCGCGTCCGGAGCCTGTGCTCCGCAACGGGAGAGGCCACAGCAGTGAGAGGCCCGCGTACCGCAAACAAACAAACAAGATACCAGGGCTCCCCACTGCCCTCGGGACTCGACTCCCGACAGCGCTCCCGGCACTCACCCCACGGCGGCGGCTGTGCCTCGGCTTGCTCACGTTCTTGGTCACCTTGTGGCCCTTGTTGAGGCCCACGGCCATAGGGTACCGCAGAGCCATGGCTGCGGACAGGGGTGGGGAGAGAGGGGTGGAGGTGAGTCCCAGCTCGGTCCCCGCCGCCCGGAACCCCGCGCCTCGGCTCCCCCGGGCTTGCTCGCTGCACCCAACCAAACCCCCGAGCTGCACTGGAGCCCCAAGGGTCCGGATGGCAGCCGATGGTACTCGCGCTGGGCTTCACTAACCTGCTGCTCCTCAGTGGCTGCCGCGGCGGAAGGGCCTCAAACGCGCCGAACTCTGGGATTTCTACCGACCCGCGGGCGGCGCGGGCCAGAGAGGCAGGAATGTCGCGGGCTCCCCCTGGCGGCTGGAGGCGTCCCTGTGGGCCCCCTGAGCATGCGCGCTTATCCTCACGGGCCCAAACCAGTAGTCGGACCGGGTGGGCGTGGCTGTTGCTGCGGTGTCTCCCTCTGCGGGTGGGTTGAGAGGTGAAATCCAACCTCTGCCGCCAGCTGGCTGTCCCAGCGCCAGAGACTTCAGCTCCCACTACTCGAATTTCTCCATTTATATAGAATGATGACAACAATAGTACCTATTCCAAACTGTTTGAGCAAAATATGATAACTGGCACAAACTCAAATTTCCACAATCGGAGAAATTGGTTTTACTATATATGAAGCCAAGCTCTGGGCTACAGCTAAGGAAAGCGTTGTGATATAGTGCCCCCTGGTGGCACTTGATATAACTTGATATAATTTTAGGTGCAGGGATAGGAGGCGTGGTGGGAACAAAAAAATATTCTTTTTTTCTGGTTTTTATCTTTCAATCCTATTTATTTCCAAGAGACAGTGTGAATTTGAGGCTGGTCTGTTTGGGGTTAGCGCTTGGATCACCTGCTAATCTTGGAGGCTTGGACAGCCAACAGGAACTAGTTTTTTTTTTTTAAAAACATCTTTATTGGAGTATAGTTGCTTTACATTGTTGTGTTAGTTTCTGCTGTATAACAAAGTGAATCAGCTATACTTATATCCCCATATCGCCCCCCTCTTCCGTCTCCCTCCCACCCTCCCTATCCCACCCGTAGCTAGCTGTTTATAACATTGTTTCATTCTTCAAAACATTGTTTTGTTTTAATAACATTGCTTTCATTTAGTTTTTATCTTTACAGTTGCTTTTTCTTTATGCGAGCACTGCTGGTTTACCATTTTAAGGAAAGTGTCAATTTTTAATTCATTAATCTAAATACCAGTGATGTGCAGGTGCAGCCCACACGTTGCCTTAAAGAGGGACAGTCTGGTGTCAGAACCCCAGCTTCTGCCTCTGACTTCCCGTCTAAGTTTCCCCATCCATAAAATGGTAACAATGGTAGCACTAACCTCTGGTTGTGAAGACGTCACGAATGTCAAGTGCGTAGCGCCTGATGCAGGCTATCATTATTGGTGCACAAACCATGTTCTTCGTGCTGCAAATATAGCCTTTGGCCCACAATCGGTTACACTTCCTTCCATCCCTGACTTCCTGGATGACGTCCATCTGTCTCTCAGCCTCCGTTTCTCCACCTGTGAAATGAAGGTGAGAGTTCTGGCACCAATACACACATCCCTCTTCACCTCCTGCCACCAGCAAACTGGAAGGACCAAGGAGTCTGAACAGATGTGCAAGGGAAGAAAGCTTTTTATTATCAAATGGGAGGCTGGATCCAGCCCAGAACATTCTTTTCCTCTTCCCCCTCCTCAGACCCCACCATCAACTCGACAGCTTCGAGGGCTCCCCTGCTCGGGAAAATGGTTGTGGGATGCTCCGAGGCTGAGTGAGTGGAAAGAACAAATCAGGGACGCAGTGGTTTCAGGTCGCAAACAGAGAGGGTTCCAAGGGTGGCTCAGTAGTGTTGTGACCTGCTTGATGTGGCCAGGGCCCTGAGGCAAGTCACATAGCCTCTCTGAGCCTCAGTTTGCTCATCTGCAAAATGGAAGCAGCAATCATATCATCAATGACAGCTGAGAAGACTGAGGTAATTAATTGCCTTCCAAGTCCCTGACAAGATGCCGGGCACGCCCCGAGTTCTGACTGTTTTCAGGTGCTGGTAGTTTTTCTCAGGTTTACTTTTCTGTCTTGATGACTTTCTTTTGGCCCTTGGCCACCTGCTCAGAGGTGTCTGTCCGGGCTCCAGGACGACTGGCTGGAGGGTCTTCTGGGAAGACGAAGGGGCATTAAGCCCAGGGGCTCAGGCAGCAGCGGGGGTCGTGATGTTGAGCTCCTGGCGGATGAACCAGGCCCTTGGCTGTGGCATCCAGCCGCGAAGCAGGCAGAGCAGATGGAAGCGCCACGGGTAGAAGACGCCGGAGGCACGCGTGGCGCTGCCACGAATCACAGCCAGGGCTGCCTTGGGCCCTGGGGCCGCCTTGGCCCTTGTGACGCCCCTGGGGACAGGAGGGTGCGGTGGGGACTGTGGCTACGGCTGAGCGGCCCCCCACACCCCCTCCCCGCTCAGCCTGGCACCGGCTCGCGTCCTGGGCCTCACCTGACTCCCTCGGCGGCCGAGGCGCGATCCTGGAGGCCCAGGACGCACATGGTGATGGCGACGTTCACGTCCTGCACGTCCAGCTCCCGCCGGAGAGAGCCGAAGAAGCTATCCAGCGCGAACTTGGCCGCCGAGTAGGGGCTGGAGAAGGACGTGGGCACGCGGCCTGGGGGCGCGGGAGGGCAGTGGCTGAGCGGCCACACGCCGCTGCTCCTCCTCCGGGAAGCCTTCCTGCCCACTCCAGGCTCGCCCCCATCGGCCCCATGGCTTCCCCACTCCCCGCCCCGCGTACACGCACCTAGCAACGAGGACACTACCACCAGGGAGCCCTTGCTGTCAGTCAGACTCGGCAGCGCCAACGAAGTCAGTTGCACGTAACTCAGGAAATTCACCTGGAGGTGGCGACTGCGAGTCACCGGGCGGAGGAGGAACCGAAGGCCAGAAGGGGCAGGGGCGGAGCCTAGAGCCTGGGGGCGGGGCCTTGGTATGTAGGGGCGGGGTTCGAGGACTGGGGCAGAGTTCTGAATGGACGAGGGGGAACACCAGCCTGGGGCGGAGCCAAGGTCAAGAGGGCGGAGCCTAGAACCAGGAAAGTTGGGGTCTGGAGCTGGGAAGGGCAAGGCCCGAGAGGGGAATGGTGAGAGGGTGGAGTCTGGCGGGAGGGCGGAACCGGGGCCGCAGAGGGGCGGAGAACCTGCATGAGCCAGCGTGTCGCCTGGGCGCTGCGGCCCCGCGTGCCTGCTGGGGCGGCGCCGAGGTGGTTCATCACCAGGTAGTCCAGCCCTCCTGGCCCGGAGAGGCCCATCAGCCCGGAGCTGTCCTTAAGGCTCCGCCCCCCGCGCCCTATGAGACACCACCCATAGCCCTGCCCCTTGAACTAGCGATGCTCCGGGCAGAGCATTGACATAATGAGCTCTGACCCAGGTAGCGCCCCAACTAAGATCAAAGAGACCCCGCCCTACTCCCTAACCAGGCTTCATCCCTGATCTAATGAGGCCCGGTCCAGAGTTCCACCCACTGGATGCCATGAGGCGCCACCCCTAGCCTTGCCCCCAGACCCATAAATCTCCGCCCTCAGACGGCCGTTACTACCACACCCCCGCCCCAATTTGGGTCGTGCCCCTAAGGCCTAGGCCAAGGTCCCAGACTCCAGGCCCCGCCCCTCACCCAGCTTGTCCAGCGCAAACTGCACCACGCGCTCGGGCATCTCAGGGGAGGCCATGTCCGCAGCGATGTAGAAGACCTTGGGAGCGCCCAGCTTCCGGCAGTTCCCTACCACCTGGGGGGGCCAGAGCTGCCCGTGGGCCCCTCCACCCCAGCTGGCCCCCCTCCACCTGCCGGCCCTAAAGGGGCCCCAGCCTGAAGCCCCCTCCCCTGCTATGAGCCTCAGGTTCCATTCAACATCATGCCTGAAGTGTTACCACTGGGGTAGCAAACTGGCAGCCCATGGGCCAGAATAGGGGACATTTTGCTTGTTCAACCATCAACATTTAAAACGCAGATTTCAAATAAATCTTGAGATTTCTGACCTCTTGAAATTTTGGAAGGTTCATCCCCAGGAGCTGCACATTTCCTTGAAATAACACTGGGCTGTTTTGAACTTGAGAACCCTAGCTATCCACACAGCCTTTGGTTACTATCAATACTCCTATTTAGTGAGGAACAGTCCTTGCTTTACAACTGTCTTACTGATTCAACCCCACATCACAACCCAGGAGAAGGTCCTTTTATTGTCTCTGATTTACAAATGAGGAAACTAAGCCTCAGAGAGATTAAGTGACTTACCCAAGGCCACACAGGAAGCCTGAATGTTTGCAGGGATTCAAACCCAGGCCCTGTTCCCCGTTCCCCCCCCCCCCCCCCCCGCCAATTAAACTTGAGATGGAGTGTCTCACCTTCTGCAGGAGAGCCTCGGTGTGGGCAGTGAGCACCAAGTGGGAGCCCAGGCGCGCGTAGTGATATGCCAGCTCCTCCCCGACGCCCACGCTGGCTCCAGTCAGCAGCACACGGGCTCCCTGGAGGCTGGCTGGCAGCGAGTAGGGGTGGTCAGCTTGGGGGATGGACAGGACAGCCAGAACGTTCCTCTCACCCCCACCCCCAGGCACTCACCTGGGTCAAAGTTGTCATCCCAATAATAGGCAAAGAACAGGGCTCCCAGCCCCACGAGCAGCAGCACCTTCATGGCCCTCCCTGGGCCTGCAGCAGGAGAGAGGGGGGGCCGGCACAGGCCTGGCCCACAGTCACACCCCAGTCACACCCATTTCCCCAACGGCGTCTTTGTTCGAAGAGCCAGCGGTGATGCCCCTGGCCTTGCCCCCTCTTCTCCATCTGCAGAGCCACCACCTGGTCCAGGTCATCATCTAGCTCACCTGAACCACTGCAGCAATCTTCTTCCCCTACTGAAAACCCTGCCCGTTTCACTTAGAACAAAAGCCTTGGTGACCAAAAAGGGTCTGCTTGGACCAGCCCCTCTTGCTCACTCTGCTTTGCCACACCAGCCTCTTCACTGTTCATTGGAACCAGCCACTCACCATCCTGCCTCAGGGCCTTTGCATTGGCTGTTCCCTCTACGAGGCTGTATTTTGTATTCCCAAATACAACTCAATGGCTTGCTCTTTCAAGTCTTGGCTGGAAAAATCACCTCCTCAGGGGGCACTTCCCTGGCCTCCTTCTCTAAAGCACCTCTGTTCCTGGTCACCCCCTCTCTCTTACCTGTAGAACTTTTCTCCTTCTCAGCACTTGTCATCCCCTGAAATCATCTTGATGATTTGCTACCTGTTCAGGATCCTTCTCTCCCCTTAGACTCAGCTCCATGAGGGCAGAAAGGAAATGGAAACCTGCTTCTGTTTTGCTCCCTTTTGGATCTTCTGTGCCCTGAACTGCCAGACATGCAGTAGGTACTCAACAGATAGACTGACCCAGACTGATATGAGGAAGGTGAGAGGTGGGGGAGCCCAGAAAGATAACTCTGTCTGGAGACACCCAGAAGGAATCGGACACTCAGGACTGGCTTGGAGATGGAGGTGCCCGTGTTATTTACTTGTTCCAGGGAGAAGGTGAAAGATATAAACAGGCCAGGTGATTAAAGTTAAGGGGGTCATGGATCTCCCCTGAAAAGGGCACAAGCCCATCACATCTTAGGGTTTCTATCCTCTGAACTGCATGGGGCAAAGAGGAAAGGCCATAGGGATCTTTGTCCAAAAACATCTGAGATGTCCCTTCCTGCTCCAAACCCTCCCAGGGCTCACCACTGCCCCAGATGGAGACCACACCCTCCTCACCTCAGCCCACGAGACCCAGCAGGTCTGGCCTCGGCTCTCTGTCCATCCTCATCTTCCCCACTTCCTATCCATGAATCTATCAGTTCTCAGAAAAGTGAACTCCTCGCCCTAACCCAGTCACGCCAGCGTCCCCTCAGCAGGGAACACTCTCCCACCTCTCCCCACTTCCAGGGAAAGCCCTGAAGCCCCACAGCTCAACACTCTCCTCAAACTGGCCCTGACCATAGTTCCCTCGCAGGGGTTGGCTGGCAAACTGGGTGGGTGAGTGGGCGGACAGATGAATGGATGGATGAAACAGCCAGGCTCTGATGGGGGAGGAAAGGAGGAAACCCGATCCTCGCAGAACCCACCAGCCCCCTGACCTCGCCGGGCCCGTTTCCCCTCTGGACAAAGGGGGCGTGCGACTCACTGCACTCTCCCAATCGCGAACTCACCCACTCAGGCCTCAGTTTCTCCCGCTGTCCAGCGGGGCTGGGGTCCGGGCCTGGGAGCCACGCGTGCGCCCCTCTGCCCTCACTTCACCACTGCGTCCGCCAGGCTCCGACCGCGCCCCCTCCCGTAGGGTCTGAGTCACGCGACTCCGAGCCCACCTCCTCGGGGGGAGGGGCTATACTGTGGGGACTCCGCTCCCAGGCGTTGCCGGGCAACAGCCTCCCGCCTAGCTCTCCTCTGGCCTCAACCACTGACCTGATCACGTGACTAAAGGCCCGCCTTTCTCGTACAAATCAGCCCTCGTGTTGCCGTGACAACCGGCTTCCAGGCACTCTCTTCCTGTGCCTGGGCCCTTAGTCCCCCGCGCCGGCGCGGGAGGCGACATCTTGTGGGTCCCCCTCAGGCCCCACTCTTGTCACCCGATTCCTCTTTCCCTCACGTCACGAGGGCCGTGCCGCCCCCGACTGCATTTCCCAGGAGGCTTGGCGGCTAAACGAGCCGTCAGGCGCCTCACGTGACTTGCCGACTACTCTTCCCAGACAGCTTTGCGGCGGCTGGGCCCTGAGGACTAAGCTTCGCGCAGTTGTTTTGCAGTGGGACCGCAACCTCTTTCTGTTGTCTAGGTGCCGAGACTCCGACTCCCGGAGGCCTTTGCGGCTGACAAGAGACTACGCCTCCCAGAGGCCTCTGCGACGCCGCAACCGGAAGTGACGGGCGAGCCAAGTGTCCTTGCGCGCGGAGCGGAGCGGTCATGGTATCCGGAGTGTGGTCGCTGATGAGGTTCGTGGGGCCACCAGGAGGGCCCCAAGCCCCCGAGAATGTTCCCTTCTGCGAGCACCCTCCATCTGGTTTGCTCCCGATCGGCTTTTCGCCGCCCGTAGTGTCAGGTCTCCCGTGTCTGTCCAGACAGGGTGGAGCTTCTCGCCCCCTTCCCGCTTCCTAGCGAGTCCGTGGCTTTCCCACTTTGTACCCGAGACCCCTCCGAGCCTCAGCTGCCCGCTCTGTAATATGGGAGTGCCGCACGCCTTTGTTGGGAGGTTAATGCGCACCCAGAGCTGCGTATGACAGGAAATGACCAGGGACACTTAGAAAACCCCCGCGGGTTCCTCGCGGAGCATCCCTCGGGGCTGGAAGGTAGAAGGTGGTCAGGAGTCTTAAGTCTTCACTGTACCCTGCCCTCTGCGGGATCTTGAGTGACACTGTTTCTCTCCAGGCTTCAGTTTACCAGTTAAATGGAGCTGAGTATCCCTGCACGCCTTAAGTGCTGTGGGTCAGGCACCCCTCTGGGCTCCCAAAATGCCCTGTGCTTCCCGCATTAGCTGCCTGGCTTCAGGTGTGTCACTCTTTGGACTGTGGGCACGCCCCTCCCCCTAGGGGTCTAACCCTCACCCCCATACCTGCGGGCCTAGACCCGGGAGGTGGCCAGCAGAATCTGCTGAGCTGCTGTGATTCCTTTCTCTGCCTGCAGGTTCCTCATCAAGGGCAGTGTGGCTGGGGGCGCTGTCTACCTGGTGTACGACCAGGAGCTGCTGGGGCCCAGCGACAAGAGCCAGGCAGTCCTTCAGAAAGCTGAGGAGGTGGTCCCCACAGCCGTGTACCAGTTCAGCCAGTACGTGTGCGAGCAGACAGGCCTGAAGATACCCCAGGTACTCCGAGCTTGGATTGAGGCTACGGCTCTGCGGGAGCAGGGGCGTCAGCTCTGGGGTGGCGTTTGATCCCCGGTCCCTCCTGCCCTGCTTGGCTTTCTCCACACTGGGGCATGTGCTGCTCTCCCTGCCTGTGAGGGAGGCGTGGGCTGCCAGGCCTTCCCCTTTCACCAGCCCCTTCTTCCCCTCTCTTCCCAGCTCCCAGCCCCTCCAAAGTTTAACTTTCACATCCGCGAGTCCTGGAATTCAGGTAGGCCTTGGTCCGTCTGCTTGCAGGAGAGTGGCCCCAGATACTTCCCACCTCCCTTCCTGGCCATGCCTTTCCATCACTCTCCTTCCTGCTCTGTGTGCACCTGCTGCCCCCGCCTCCCCGCCCCGCTGCCCCCAACGGATCTGAAAGAGAAAAGGGAGTGGAGATTCCAGGGAGGTGGGAGCAATATGTGGCCTCCACCTGTTTCCCTGCATGGAATTGACACAGCCGGAAGTGGTGCCTCTCAAACTCTCTGCTGAAAGCGCTGGGCCCTCCTTCCCCACAGGCATCATCACGGTGATGTCCGCTCTGTCCGTGGCCCCCTCCAAGGCCTGGGAGTACTCCAAGGAGGGCTGGGAATACCTGAAGGAGCGAACCAAGTAGCCTGTCAAGAGGAAGCTGCCTGCCCCAGGCGGGAACAGGGGCCGGGGCGCCATGGACGCCAGACTGGGACCCCACTCCTAGGGCAGCTCCCGGCCTTGCCGGCCCAATAAAGGACTTGGAAGTGTTCCCCGATCCGTGTGCTGGCCCCCGGGGCGTGGGCTCCTGGCTCCTGGGGGCTCTTCAGGGCCTGACCTTGACCGAAGGCCAAGGTTCACCCCTTTGTATCTGGGCCCTGCCCACTGGTGGGCCCTCGACTTTGTATGGTGAGTGGGAGCAGACCACTGCCCTGGGGCTCAGGGCCCATCTGCGTCTGGGGTCTTCTCAGTTCTTGGAGGGCTGAGCACAGGGTGGGGCAATCTGGGGGTAAGGGCTGGTCTACACAGCTGGGAGCCCCCAGAGCCACTGATTGTCTGTCCTGCTCAGCTCACTGATCTGCCCGCCTAGTCTAGTCCCTGTCCTCCTGCCCTCACCTGGTTTCCACTCTCATTCCACCCTCTCCCCACAACCTGGGGATTCCTGGGGAGCACAGACCTGGAGGTCATGGCCGTGCAGGGAGTCTCCCTGGCCCACAAGGGCCCAGTTTTCCAGATGTTCCCTGCTCCCCTGGGAAGCCTTCTCTGACACCCGCTGTGTCAGCTGCTTGGTGACCTAAATGTGTCTCCGTCCAGCTGGAGCTCTGGGGAGGGTGGGCCCTTGAGATGCTCCCTGTGAGATCTCCAGCACCCAGTCACAGAGCATCCCACCATGGTGACGGCAGGAGGAAACCTCTGCCCCAGACAGGGTAGGAGGTGGGCTTGGGTGGGAGCCAATGACTGGCCCAGGAAGCTACCCTGGGAACAGGGAGGAGGCCTGGGTAATGGTGCCCTGAGCTGGCACAGGATCCTCTGTTCCCAAGAGTTCCGGAGTTCATGTCAGTTGGTTTAGGGGATAGAAGTCACCCAGGGACATGACTCAGGAGGGGACAGCACTGTTACAGATGAGGGAAGCAGAGACCAGAGGCCAGGGCATCTCCCAGGCTCGCCTGGGAGCAGAAGCCAGCACGTGTCCATCCATCCATCTGGCCAGGGAGGAGTGGGGAGGGCGGGGTGCTTGGGGAGGGAGAGCCCTGAGTGACCTGTGCCACCCTGGTCTCCAGGAATGGTCTCCAGGTGGGGTCTCCCATGTCCTGTGTGTCACCTGAAAGCCACCTGGGCCCCTGTGGAGGTGGGAGCGGGTCTATGATGAGGGTGGGATGGGTGGGGCCTGGGGCCATCCTTGATGCTCTGCTGCCGAGGAGGGAGCTGGTGCTGGCCATTTCGGAGGCTGAGGGCACATCCTGAGTTCAAGGACAAGCCCTGTGAGCTGTCCCAGTCTGACTCTCCGTCCACAGAGCCCTTCCAGCAGCCTCATGGGCCCATTTTTTACAGATGGAGAATACAGGAGGGGTTTGTGCTCAGGGCGCAGGGAGCTGGGGTGGTGCCATGCGCTCCACGAGGCTCCCTGAAGCCTCACGACCCTTCCAGAAAAGCGCACAGGAAAGGAAGCCAGTCTTTGAGCTGCCCTGGGGACGTGTGTGTGTTTGTGCGTGCACGTGTTTTCTAGTACTGAAACCAGCCTATGGTCACTGGCCCAGGGTTGGCCATGGGCTCTGCTTGACCCCATGGCTTTCCCGCTGTCCACACAGACCAAGCTGACAGCCTGGAGACCAGTGCTGCTCTTGCCCCTGTCTCCTCATCCAGTCAGACCCCTATTCCTCTCCATCGACTTGTATTTGTTGCCAGTGATCACCTCCCTGCTGACCCCACCTCCAGGCCTGCCCCCTTCCATCTGTTCCCGAGACCATGTCTGATGACGTCACCCCCGTTCAAACACCTGCAGCTCCCCCTGCCCTCCCTGTGAGCCCAGACTCCTCAGGGGCCCTGCCTCCCCTCAGTCCTTCTTGGATATGCCAGCCCAGCGGCCCTCAGTTCCCAGAACACAGCTGGCTTTCCCGCCAGCTTTTGCCCACAACTTTGCAGCCCCTCATTAGGCCATCCTTCCTCCTGGCTGACCCCTGTTCATCCTGCCCCCAGCTGAGATGCCCCCTCATTTGGGAAGCCTCCCCTGTACCCTTCCTCGAGTGCCCTCTCTGGGCTTCCTCAGTGCCCTGTGGGTGCCCCATCACAGCGCCCAACACCTTGGGGCAGATTTCCACAGCTTGGCATCGCTGATATTGGGAAGGATAAATCCGTGTTGGGGCCACCCCAGAGATGGGGTGTTGAGCAGCATCCCTGCCTCCAACCCCCAAAATGCCAGCGGTGCATCCTTACCCACCACGTATGACAACTGCAAATGTCTCCTGGTGCTGCCAGTTGTCTTCGCGGGACAGAATCACCTCGTGGTTGGACGTCCAACATGGGTCTCAGTGGGCTGAAACCCAGGTGTGGCCATGGCCGGTTCCTTCTGGACTCTGGGAAGAATCCGTTTCCTGCCTTTCCCAGCTCCTAGAGGCCACTGTGATCCTTGGCTGGCGTCCCTTCCTCTGTCCTTACAGCCAGCAGTGCGGTCTTCCGCTGTCGTGTCCCCTTCTTGCCCTTCTCCCTATTTCCCTTACAAGGACCCACCTGGGTAACCCCAGATACCATATGAAGGTTCTTAATTTAATCCTGTCTGCAGGTCCCTCTTGCCACGTGCGGTATAAATTTACAGGGATTAGGAGGGGGATGTGCCTGGCCTGGTGGAGGAGGTGTATTCAGCCAACAGGTGGAAAGGCCTGGTCCTGTGTCTGTCTTCCCTTGTCTGGGCCCTGGGGGGACAGGGGCCCGGTTAGCCTTGGTTGTTGGTACATCTCAGCCTTCAGACAGGGCCAGACCCTTCTTGAGTGTGAGATGGAGCCAAGAGGCAGGCCTCTGAGCACTATTCCCCTAATAGGGGGGCCTGCCCCCAGCCCCATCCATACAGACCCAGGGCCCCTAGAGACAAGGAACACAGCTGACCTGGGGAGGTGGCACTGTCCCACCGAGCCACCCCTGGAGTCCAGGCAGCACTTGAACCCTGAACACACCTGCACCTTATGTGGGGTGAGACCCCCCGCCCCGACTCGGACTCCTCTGTCCCGGCAACTCTCTTTCCACTCCGGCCCCTGCCACTCCCCAAGGTGGACTTCACCTGGTGTCCAACAGCTCTTCTGCTCCTCTCACGGCACACGTGGTCATCTCTCCTCCCCACGAGGATGCAATCCCACTCACGAGGTCCCTAGAGGAGTCAGATTCAAAGACAGAAAGTAGGTGGTGGGGGCCAGGGGGCTGGGGACTGAGTGTTTGATGGGGACAGAGTTTTAGTTTGGGAAGAAAGAAAAGTTCTGGAGATGGACGGTGGGGATGGTTGTATGACGCTGAGAATGTAC